TGAAGTTTTGGGCTACTGAAAGTTGTAGAGGGTGCTGGTTTCATTTGTGTTGATTTTGGTGCTGTTTTGGTTGATTAGCTGTTTGTGTTTGGTTTTGAATCCTTCCTGAGCTGTTGAATTTTCTGGTCTGCTCCTGATTTCTACTGACTACTGCCGCTGACTTCCTCTTCTTCTTCTGAATTTTGCATCTCAGGTACACATTCTTGAATTCATTTCCATGTAACTGTGAATTGAAGTTGGAATAGAGAAATGCGTCAGATCTATATGCGAAGATGATTTTCTGTTGTTTATAGTTAATTAGCTGCTTGTTAATCAGCTGTTTTGTGGTCATTTAGTCAGCCTGTGTTGGCATTACGTGCAGAGGGAATTAGGCTGCATAATTAAAACTGTCTTAGTTTGGTTTGGACTGTAATTAAGTGATTTGGACTGTTATTTGAACCCTCATTTTGTAGTCATGGGTCAAACTCTATAGTTGTGTAGTCATTGAGATTCGAATATTTTGAAGTGTTTTACAAATTGTATTCATTAGACTGTGAGCTATAGTTGTATAATCCCTATCAGTGTATTTGTTAATCTGAGCATTGTTCGGAGGCCAGTTAGAATGAGCATTGACTTAGGATTTAATCAAATGTGTGCATATTTTTAGGGTCAATCAAAGTTTAGTTTACCTTTGGAAATCAAAACAACATACTAATATAATAAGTTTGCGTCTCCCGCTTCAATAAACGTTGATCACGCTGATTAGTTCATTGGATTCAATAATAGATTGTATGAGATATGATTAAATTGAAGGTTGTTGAGTTAATTGAACTTGGAGCTTCCTTCAGTTGGTACTCCAATTATGCATCTAATTGCGCGGACTCAGCCATGAGTACTAGGCTGACCCCAAAAGTTCTAAGCCTAAAATCCCACCCGGATGTTCTGCTGTCATTGATGCCCGGGTTGCCTGTGCCTCTGCTGTACCGCTCGACTTGGGCTATTAGGCTGGACTTGAGAACAAATACACTAAAGACTTTCACTCCTTTAAATCATGATTTAGTCCAGGCTTTGAGCTTGTTAATTAAGACTCTTTAGAGATAATCCCTTAACAAATAATGCTTCAATAAATGAGATGAGCCTCGCTAAACAAAACTCATAAATTGCGGGGCCCTCATCCAGTGTTTATACAAAATACTTAGACTTCGGGACGGGCCGTTTAGAAAATTTCACGGCCTTCCCCAAATAATAACGTGTTAGTCTCTTTAGGCGCGTATTTTAATAATATTACTTTCCTAAATTTGGGTGCACATTTATGTGACCCAAATCCAAATCTCAACGAAGTCGAAATGTGTTAACAATCACGGGTGCACTGGTGCGACGTGGTTCGAGACGCATTTTCACGACGTTGCAATTCTTATTAAACATAAAAATAAAAGCGGTTTACTAATAAAAACACATAAGTTAGAACATGTTTTAAAATCAGATAATTTAAACCGAATATGACAGTTGAGCGACCGTGCTAGAACCACGGAACCCGGGAATGCCTAACACCTTCTCCCGGGTTAACAGAATTCCTTACTCGGATTTCTGGTTCGCAGACCGTTAACAGAGTCATAGTTTCCTCGGTTCGGGATTCAACTGGTGACTTGGGACACCATTAAATCTCCCAAGTGGAGACTCTGAAATCTTAATAATAAATCCCGTTCCGATTGTCCTTTAAGTGGAAAAACTCCTTTACACTCTCACGGGTATAGTGCAAAAAGGAGGTGTGACATGTATATGGAGACAAAAAAGGAGAATAAAAACTTAGGATCGTATCCGTCACTCATAAGTGTACGAGATTTTAGTATGGAATTGGCTATTACAAATGAGAACACAAGTGCAGGTTTGTTATGATTCAAATTCTATGGATGTCTAATTTTAGGATAATACCTACAAAATTCCTACATTTATCTACAAATAAACTACAAATCAATTTTAGGAGGTATAAAGCAATATAGTTTTCATGATTATCAACACAATTACTACATTTAGACTACAATTAAGCTACAATCCATGTTGAAAAAAAAATTGACTACAAAATTTCTATTCATCTACAATTTATCTACAAAGATTCTACAATGTTGTAATGCCACTGTTTATCTTTATTTTCAAGCAGGTTCGCCCGGGATAATACAGTTACTTGATATGCCAGCCTCTCCCGTTATAGAGGAATATCAAAGTGAAATAATAATTGAAGGTACACAAAGTGTTATCGAAGAAGGACAAGTTTATCAAGACAAGCAAACAATTGCAAATGCAAAGAGGCACTATTCTGTCATGCACAAGTTCCAATTCAGGGTTAAAAGATCTAGCCACAGAAGGTATGAAGATATTAATGGTGAAAAGATCATTATAAACAATTTTTTCCTTGTGATATGTAGATGAAAAGTAGTTCTATTGTATAGTTTGTTACTTTATGTTAAAACAGTGCTTTTGTTACATCTACATTGATAACCTTTATTATAAATGTATTTTTTTGTAGCTACTGGCTTATATGCGTTGCAGAAAACTGTAATTGGCAATTCAAGGCAACATCAATTAATGATTCTGCAATGTTTAAGATCAGGAGTTTCAACCAACAACACACATGCACCTTAATGGACGATACATTCATACAGCGCAAACGTACTGCAGTTGTAGTTGGTAGCATGGTCATGCCAAAGTATTGTGATCCGAAGACAATTTACACACCGAAGGACATACAAACTGACATGTTATCCCAACACGGAGTGAACCTAAGCTACATGCAAGCATGGAGGGCAAAGGAAAAGGCTTTACAGTTATTGAGAGGTCATCCGGCTGACTCCTACAACAAATTACCAAAATATTTTTATATTCTTGAGAAGATGTATCCTGATTCAGTTGTTAAATTGAAGAAGACAACAGATGAATGCTTCTTATATGCATTTGTTGTCTTTGTACATCAATAAGTGGTTGGAAATATTGTAGACCACTAGTAGTGGTTGATGGGATATTCTTAAAGACAGCCTATAGGGGAATTATGCTGACAGCAAGCACAATGGATGCAGCAGGTAAAATTGTAGTTATTTTGTGGTTATTTTGTAGGCAGTTTATAAATTGTAGAAACATTGTAGAATCTTTGTAGATAATTGTAGTTTATATGTATTTGTGTTTTTATATGCATTTTCAAAGCTGCCAGTTAATTAATTTTTTATTAATTATGTAGGAACAATATTGCCTTTGGCATATGTAGTGGTTGATTTGGAAAACGACGCATCGTGGAAGTGGTTTTTTGAGCAATTCAAGCAAGCATATGGTGAAAGAACTTCAATGTGTGTTGTTTCAGATAGGAATGAGAGTATCCTGAAGGCAACATCAATTGTCTATCCAGGCGTGCCACACTACTCATGCGTGTGGCATATTTGGACAAATATAAGGGCAAAGTTCAAGAAGGGTCATCTACAATTAAATGAATTGTACTTTGCTACATCAGGGTCATACACTATGGATGAATTTAATGAAAGGATGTCGAAGATTGAAGAGATAGACCCTCGTGTTAAATCATACCTCTATGATGTTGGCTATCATAGATGGTCAAGAGTACTTGCAACGGTGAATAGAACTTGGACTATGACATCAAACATTGCAGAGTCGTTGAATGCTGTAACAAAATATGCAAGAGAGCTGCCAATATTTGACCTATTAGAGTATATGAGGACACTTCTTGAACGTTGGACGAGACAGAAGTTGTTGAAGGCAAAGGGTACTTTCACATACCTTGGGTACAAATTCAACAAAGAATTGGAGAAAAACAGTATATTATCTCAGAAACTTAGGGTAAGTGTGAGCACGTGATTTTTGCCCTAAGCAATAATTCCCAAAATTTCAAACAAAATAATTTCTTTAGTATTTTGTAATTTTTCGTGAATTTTGTGGCATTTTTTGGTAATTGTTGCATTTTAATTCATATGAAAATACAAAAATATGCATTTTTTCATTTAGGATTTAATTTCATATTTTAGTATTAATTTGTTTTAGAACAAAATGTTAAGAAAATAACAAAAAGGGTCCATTTTGCATTTTTTGGTATTAGTTTGCATTTCTCTTTAGGAATCAATTAGGAAATATAATTGTTAGAGTCAATTTGTTTTTAGTTTTATTTTAGCATTTTATAAAATCGGAAAATAAATAAATACAAAAATACAAAATAAAATACAAAAAGCAAAATAAATAAATACAAGAAAACAAACAAAAATAATAAGAAGGCTGCCTTGAATTGGGCCATT